AGGAGACCGAAGGGTGAGAGAGGACGAGCAGGTGCAGTGGGGGAGGGGGAGGGTTAGGTGGGGGTTGGAGTTGGAGGAGGTTGTGGGGGAAGGATAGGGGGGGGGTAGAGGGCAGGGGAAGAGAAGGGGACAGGGGAAGAAGGGGGAGGGGGAGGCGGGAGGGAAGGGAAAGGAGAAGGGGGAAGAAGGGAAGAGGGAGGGGAGAGGGAAGGGAGGTGGGGGTGGAGGAAGAAGGGAGGAAAAGGGAAGGCGGGGAGGTGATGATAAAAACGGAGATAAGGAAGAAAAAGAGATAATAGAAGGTGAAGAAGAAACAAACAAAGAAAAAGAAAATCGATAAGGATAAGTAAGAAGAAGAAGAAGAAGAGGAGGAGGAGGAAAAAGAAAACGAAAAGGAGAAGGAATTTCGGGATTAAAAGCATGAAAAAAAGCCAGGTTTCTGCGCCAAGTCGTCTCCCTTTCACCGGATCCGCGCAATACTAACGGTGCCTCAGGGATTATCGCTTGTTTACAACGCTAAAACCACACTGGAGCGGAAGGGGAGAGATTAGTCATTTCAGTATTGTTTACAGGCTTCTATTTGCGTTTTCTCTCGCGTATCCGGTCGTGCGGGAGCGATTTATTCCACTCGCTGGCCTGTAAATTCGTAGCGTTGTAGCAAGAAGAGTAACTTGTAATTCGCAAAAAAAAAAAGAAAAAGAAAATAAAGAAAAGAAAAAGAATAGAGAGAGAGAAATAAATGAAAGGAAAAGAATGCCAGTTTTCTTAAAAAAAGAGAGAAAAATGCTGCTTCTTTCTCCGAGGATAAATAGAACTTTTAAGAATACGTAAACAAAAGAGGGGAAAAAGAGGAAAAAAAATTAAAGAAAAAAGAAGAAAAAATGGGAAAGAAAAGGAAAAAAAGAAAATATGGGGAAAATAAGAAAGAAATGAATTGAAAATAAATAATAAAAAAACTAGAAAAAACGAAAAAAAAGGAAAAATCGAAAAACAAGCATAGGAAAGATTTCTTTTTTCTTTTTTTAAAGGCCACCAAAACCGGAACTTATGACCTCAGGGGAATTTAGGCAAAATGCTAGCCCAGGTCAGCCAGCCAGGCACGGCGGACATTACAGCGCTGGCAGGAATTTTCAATGTTAGTAGCTCCACCCCCTCCCCCCCCTCAAAAAAAAAAAAAAAACGAAAAAAAAACGGAATACTCAAGGCTGTATAAACTCGTAATTATGTGAGGGTTAAGAATACGAGAAGAATGGATGGGTGGAGAAGAAAACGGAGAAAGATAAATCAGTTTTTTTGTGAGTGGTGGGAGGAGGGAGAGGGAGAGGGAGAGGAAGAAGGGGTGGGAGTGGGAGTGGGAGGGAGAGGGAGAGAGAGGAAGAGTGGGGTGGGTGTGGGAGTGGGAGACGGAGTGGGAGGGAGAGGGGGTGGGAGTGGGAGACGAATGGGTTGGGGGGTTGGAGGTGGGCGTAGGTGGGCCTAAGCAAGGGTGGGGGAGTGGGTAGGGGAGGGTTTGGAGGTGGGCGTAGGTGGGTCTGGGCAAGGGTGGGGATGTGGGCAAGGGTAGGGGGGAAGGATGGGGTGATCGTAAGTGGGCGTGGGTGGGTAAGGGTGGGTGGGTGGGTGGGTTAGAGGTGGGCGTAGTTGGGTCTGAGCAAGGATGGGGTGGATAAGGGTGGGGGGGTGGGCGTGGGGGGGGGTTGAAATCTAGATAAGGTTTCCCATAAAAAAAACGCCGGATGCCTGTGCTCTAACGGGAGATGTTTCTAATTCTTATATACATTTAAAAGAAAGGCTTATGGTTTTCACACCTGATGGAGATATATGTGTATTGCGCGAGATTGTCGGGTGTGGTTGATATTCGAATATATATATATGTATATATATTTTTTCTTTCTTTCTTTCTTTTTTTCTTTTTCTTTTTTTTCTTTTTTTTCTTTTTCTTTTTTCTTTTTTCTTCTTTTTTTTGCCTGCGTCTGTGTGTCGGATTCTCTCTCTCTCTCTCTTTCTCTTTTTTTCTTTCGCATCCTCTCTCTCCCCCTCTCTTCCTCCTCTCTTTCTCTCCCTCCCCCTCCCTTCCTTCCTTCCTTCTCTCTTTCTCTCCCTCCCCCCCATCTCCCCCTTTCCCCCCCGCCACTCTCACGCCCTCTCACGCTCTTTGCAATAATATATACGTGATGAATTATATGAGCGAGCGAGGTTGGCCGGTATTTCATATGTCATTTGTGGCGTTTTCAGATAGGATTGTCCCTTATTGTGGCACGTAGCGACGGAAAGGGCTAGGTGGCAACTCGAACCAATTAGTTTCCATCGTTTTATTTCATTATTGTTTTATTTTTTTTCTCTTTTTTTTCGTCATGTTATCATTGTTGTTGCTGGTATTTCCCTTTTTCTTTTTGTTCTTCGTGTTCTTCATATTCTTTATCTTCATTATTATTGTTGTTGTTATTATCATTATTATTATTATTATTATTATTATTATTGATTTGATATCTTCGTTAAATGCTGATGGAATATATCGTTATAGTTTATTTATATCTTATTTATA